AATCGAATGGAATAGGTTTTAAGGCTCTATCTCTCATAGTTTCCGAGATAATCGCGATAACGAAATCGCCAAAAAATCTTGCCGTACTTTTGGACATTTTTACCAACACCTACTCGTCACTAAAAACCAATAAAATTCAGAAAAACGTTTGTACCATTTTTCTGAATAATCTACGACTGTTTTTGAAGCTCTGAATGGTTTGTACTTGGTCTCATTATCATGTACAGTAAATTGTTCCGTTTGTACTGCGATGGGAGTGGAAGTACGGAAGTTGAGACGTTTGTACCCACATCAACATCACTTCACGAACTACATATGGAATCCATTACGATGATTTTACGGTTGATAAAAATGGAATCAGGTGATTTGATAATAATAATAGTAATAACAATAATAATAATAATAATAATAATAATAATAATAATAATAATAATAATAATGAATAATTTTCCTTGGTACAAACGAGTACTAACGATTTAGAAGTTATCTGTATGTTTTCCTGACGTCCTTCATACATTTATGATCTTAGAAGCGTGTAAAGTATTGAAGGTGTTGATAAATGGAAAAATATAGTACATACAAGTACTATCCATGCTGAATCCTTGCTCATGAAAATTTTTTCCGTACCTTCATTTCCGACGCTGCACGATTTTTCCCGCACCTCTTACGTCTAGGGGTGCGGGGTACAAATGAAAATGAATGTAATACATTCAGGTACTCACTGAGTACAATCGATACTATAAGAAAGACAATCGATTTATCAAACTTCGACTCCAAGTTCACACAGCTGATTTTTTCAGCTGATTTTTCCAGCTCCTTTCATATTTTGTTTCCTGCATTATAAAATTTAGTGTCTTAAAGACACCGTAATTTAAGATGTCAGACAAGAATTTCCGAGAAAATTTCTCTGATCCCCCGACTCCGTGAAGACTGGAATTTCCAATGTCTTGAAATCATTTTCGTTTTTCATCTAAAAACAAAAAGTTTGATAGACGAGACATTTTCATAATGTCTTGAAATTCAGGGCATCGAATTTAAGACATTTTTTTAGTCTCAATCCTCAGCACTTGAAGACTATTCAGTCACTAGTGATTTATGATGCGGAACTGAGATAAGGTATTAACTTCATTAAGACATACAATCATAAGACGTTTTTGGTGACTTATCCATTCTCTTCTAATTCGTTGAAATTCGGAATTCAACGAGAGGATCGGCAGGGCGATGAGGGTGGGAGGTGTCAAATGAATTCAGGCTTAGTATCATTACAATAGGAAAAGAGCATCAAACCTTCAGAACTTCAAATTCTGAAAAGAAATCTTTTTTATCCGTATTTTAAAGATAAAAATTAAATTCCTACAAATTCTGCATTACGACCGCTATTTTTAACATAACCAAAATTATCAGTGCAACGTATGACGGATTGCGTATAAAAATTCTATAGGATTTCCGTATATGATATTCGGATATTTCTATACGATTATTTTCTATACGAATTATTTTTATACATAAATTTTGACATAAATTTTTGTTTTCATACGAAAGATGTCTAAACGCTCCCGAGAAAAACGTAGAGAAATGTCGCAACTCCATACGAAATGTTTCTATACATGTGGCAGTAGGTCGTATAGGATCAAACCTATAGAAATCGTATAGAAATAATTTGTATAAAAAATATCCATATAGAAATATCCGAATATCATATACGAAAATCCTATAGAAATTCTCTACGTAATCCGTATAGAAAACTTCTGTACGATTTTTTCATACGTGAAAAATCTGTCGCGAATTGATAAACAAGAATAAGTGCACATCATTGCGAATAAAAATTGCTTTTGTCAAATCATTTTCTCAAATTGTTGGGAAACAGTTTAACCAAAAAACCGCATTTTCGAAAAAAATGCACTTATCCTAGTTTACCAATTCAGCACAGAAACTGACGCTTTGAAAAAAATGAAGTTGGGAAAACCAAACGAGACATCGTAAGTTTGAAACAAAAGATCCTCGAGTAAGGCTCTTAGAATATGTAGAATGCGTGACTTCATTTTGGGGATACAAATGTTTTAAAGAAGGGGACAAAAGTCTGTTAATTTCAGCCACTAGTTTCTCTAATGCGTGGATAACTCTGTCAACGATCCTTTGGGTAGTTGTGGTTTCGGATGAGCATCCTTAAAAGGTCCTCTTGTTAACAATGTAGGTACTCACCAAGGGGTATTACATGTATGTGTCAAGGTTAAATATCTTGTGCCAAGCTCGTAGAACATCCTCAGCACAGCTAAGCTCGTCCCAACGGCATGGCCACCTTCAACTCCTATAAGACTGGCTAATCTATGCTCTTTGTGGGCTTTTTCGATTCCTGAAATCATCGGGTAATTTGTTTGAAATAAATAAATTATTTGTTCAATATAATTAAATGTTTTTTTTTTAAACAAGTAAAAAATTTCAAATACAGATTTTTATTTAATTCAAAAGAACCATTTTTCTGGGGGTATCGATCATGATTGCATAAATAATCACGAAAATGTGAAGGAAAATTAATTCTCCATTGGAGATTTTTTCTTCCTTTTGTAGCAGATTTGAAGAAAAGAGTCTCCAATGCTCAAAAGACCGCTGGGAAGGGCTTGGCAAGGTAAATTGGAAGTGGCCACAAGATGGCAATAGGCATCCTACGGGGAGGCATTCAGTTAATTTGGCCAGCATGAATTTGTGGACAGTTTGCATTGTAAATGATTATGAAATTGGTCAAGGGGGACACGGGCCACTTTACTGGGCATGCCATTGCATCAATACATGATCATGAAAATTATTAGATACTGAGAAAATTGAGGATATCACGAGGGGGTAATCACTCAGAAACAACAGGGTGCACCAAGTTCGTTGCCTTTTCTTCATCAGTTAAGGGGAAACTACTGTGAGTTTTCAAAGTCGTGGGTTATTGGAGTGAGACTTTTCATACGTAGAAGATCGATTATATAGATCTGAAAACGAATAATTCGCGCAAAAAAAATTTGTTTATTGTTCGTTTGCCCGAAAACGTTTAAAATGCCAAAAACAGTCCAGGGCCTCCAATTTTTGAGCTATGGAGGATTTTTTGCTTCTGAATGGAAGCTTTTTTTTTTAATTTTCGGAAAAATATTTGGAATAACAATTGCGAGCTATTTTTTCTTAATTCGCGCCTTACATAGCTAAATTTGTTTTTTTTAAATATTTTTTTACACAAATAGTGAATTTTTTTATATGAAAAAAAAAACGAAATCAGCTGTGTAGGAGTCGAATAAAAAAAAACTGGCTCGTAATTGTTGTTCCACAGATTTTTCCGAAAATTTTGAAAAAAAAAAATCTTTTGTAGCTCAAAAATTGGAGACCCTGGACTGTGTTCAGCATTTTAAGCGTTTTCGGGCAAACGAACGATAAAAAAAAATTTTTTTGCCCTAATTATTCGTTTTCAGATCCATATAATCGATCTTCAACGTATGAAAAGTCTTATTCCAATAATCCACAACTTTTAAAACTCATAGTAGTCTCCCCTTAATGACTAAGTCTCACGATATGTAAGTCCTTATGTCATTTTTATATTTGGCTTTTAGACTGGATATGTCTTCTGAAAAGGTAGTTGACATAGAGAAAAATAATAAATAAGCACTTTTTAATAGAAATCGACGCAAACAACAAACAGAATTTTTGAGAGTTTTTCAATAGAATTATAATAAAAATTCGATGAAATTTCGCAATGAAAGCATCAGTTTTTCTATTGAATTGTTTCATCCATACAATTTCCGGGGACTCCAGAACAACTTCGAAAACCTCAAAAGACTTCTCTTGAAAATTCATGAGATTTGCAGTCCCTCTTTACATGTCATGTCACGAGTACTCCCTCGAGATATCCATTACAAGACAAAGTTCTACGTACCTTCAGCAGTTGTGACAACAACCATGTGCTGCGAATGTTTATTCACAAGGCGTCGAATTAAGTCTATCTGCTCCAGTGCCAATTGAACTGAATCGAGATGTTGTGATGAGCAGGGCACGTACGCTGACCAAAACTGGAATTTATGGTTTCTGTATTACATTTCACTTAAGAGATGCCTTGTTCATTGAGGATAATATAAATAGCCCGACGCTTGCTATCCTTTGTCCTCTACCTTTTGCGTATGAAATAATAGACTGCACGTTTATTTACTCAGCGCAACAAAACAAGTATGCCTTGTCACTCCACACATGTCAGTCACAAACCTGTATTCCACTTTTGGAATACACTCTGTGATGCGTACAGGGCTTCCTCGCGTTTATACGAGAAGTCGGGTTTGATGTGGGTGTGCGCAAAGGAGTGGGAATTTCGTCATTTTGAATTCAGTATTTATATGAATGAAACTCAACTAGGCTTTGAACCTTTCGCGTTGCAATAAAAATGAAATGTTACGGAAAACGAATATCCCTTTTAATTTCAAGAAATATCCTTCGGTGGTTAATTACCATTTCATTCGATGGAACGGCAAAGCGAGGAGTTGTTTCCAGTGGAAAGACGTTGCATTTTAATTAGCATCTATATGTGTTGATGGATGCAATTGCAAGTCAATTATCTGACAAAAATTCGTAGTAGTTGAATTGCAAGAGTCTAAAGTTTATCTTCTATTTTGAGCCATCAGGAATTCTAAAAATCTTGAAAAAAATTAACGGTCTATTCTGTGCGGAAAATTCCTGAACAAATTGAAATTTTTGCAGATTACAACTTTAGTTCATTAATAATTAATGAATACTGTTAGAAATTTTTTGAAATTTCATGGAAGATATTATAGTAAATCTCATGAGAGTGAAATTGAATCGGATTTATAGGGAACAATGGTTATGAAATTTCAAGTTTTCAGTAGAATTCACTGAAATTCATGAGTGGGAGCGAGATGGAAATTTCACAACTTTATTGAATTTCCAGCGGAACATGAATATTCAGAAACAAAATGACATGAATGTTCAATTTTTCCCTGAATTTTCCTGATTTCTCTGAATTTTCACAGAATAATTGAACTGAAAAATCAAGTATTTTATTCATTTTCAGATCATTTGAACAGAAAATCACTGGAATATTTGATTTTTCAATGACAGGATTTCCTGAAAATCCAGTGCAACTTGAACACGATAAAAATTTCCGGAATTTGGCACGGAAAATTCAGGCGAAAATTTTTAACAGCGAAGGATCAATTTTTCATTATGAAAATGCTTCTCTTCAATCGTCACAATCACATTATGTTTCCCAAAAATCTATGTAATGGCTAAAAAAATAAGATTTCCGAAAGGATTAACAATGGCCCTCATTAATTCAAAAATGAAATGCTGTGGGAAATGAATATCCGTTTTGATTTCAACAAACATCCTTCCGTGGTTAATTACCATTTCATTTTACAGAACTGCAAAGTGGGGAGTAGTTGCCAATGGAAAGACGTTGCCGTTGGACTAGTGTTCTATATTTCAATTGATGAATCCAATTTCAAGTCAATTATCTGACAAGTGAATTGTCCATTCAATGAACAAATGTTTATACCGCACTCTCGATGAGATTGCCGGTATCCCGCTCTCGGCTTGTTCATGCGGAAACTCGGGCTTCCTGTGGGTATGCAACCCCATTCATGGAAATGAATGTGAATTTAATCATTCTATTCTTGTATTTTTATGAAAGATGTGAATCAAACTCTGAATCTACCGTGTTGTGATGAAAAAGGAGAGCCATTTCCAATTTCAGAGAGTATCCTTTGACATTTATTTACCATTCAATTTTATTGAACTGTTTGAAAAAAAGTTTCCCCCGTGGAAATTCAATTTCGCGATCCGATCCAACAAAATGCTCCAAAATTGTAGAAAATATTTCTCAAGTTTTTCTGCACATGAACGATCTGCAAAACTTTTCTCTTTCGCTGCTGGACAACACAACTATCGACAAATTGGCGATAATTTTAGAAAGATAATCTCAAGAACTTGAGAATTCCCGAACTTATTTGGATTTTCCAAGCTTCAAATTAAACCAAACTATTAATCACAAAACCAAAAATAGATCTTCCAATTTCTTCCAAATTAATAATCAATAAACCATCATCTCATATTAGTCGTAAAATTCAACAAAAAATTATGAACGACGTGAAATGTGGGGGATTGATGCGCAAGGGGAAAGGAGTTGCGGTTCGTCAACCATTTCACATTATCTGACAAGGGAATCGTCCAGTTATTCAATTAACGAGTGTCTATCCTTCACTGTCGATGTGAAATAGGGTGACCAGGCCAATTGCTGGACGGTTAAAGGAAATTCGAGTTTCGTGGTATGATCTAAAATAAAAGAATCACCTAAATGGGGATATGATGGAAAAAAATCGTTTAAAGTGAAAATAACAAAACAAAGAATAATTTAATTCAGAAATAGTTGAATGTAGCCGAAACCTCCAATTTCTGGACGACTGGGTCATATTTTTTTTTTTATTTATTAAATGTTGATCAGTAGAAGAAAATAACTGATCACATGATTGTACACAAGTGATATTATGGAGAGGTGGAATAATCAATACAATTTTCATTTTATTTGTGGAATAGACAATGCAAGTTGAAATCGTCCAGAAATCGACCTGTTTACCCTACATATCTATATCTCACGCTTCACGTGGAAACGCAATTTTCACGTGCGTATGAGCAGAAGAACTGTAAAAAACAAAAATAAGCAAACTGTTTTCATAATTTCAAGAAACATCGCCTAGTGCTTAATCACCACTTTATTTTATGAAACTGCACTGAGAGACCATTATTCCATGATTCTGTTGATTAATCCAATTTTTAGTCAATTATTTAACAAGTGAATTGTCCATTTATTCAATAAAAAAATGTTCAGACGTCACTTTCGATGTAAATCAGTATGGATTGGCGTTTGACATTGATTGAGCGATTTGAATGAAGGCTAACCGCAGTAGCCCACCGAATAAAAAATAAAACCGAGTGTACTGGTGGTTCTACTCTGGCCTCCAATATTTTGTCACGATAAAAGACATTTGACAACACTCTGGGAGGGGAAAAAAATCCAGATAGGAACGAAAAATATGGAGATACATTTAGCGTCGGGATTTAAATATATGTTGATTCAGGAAGCGCATTGGAGCAGCATCGAAAGAGATTGCTGAAGTACGGAATCACTGATTGTGAAATGATTTTACATTTTAGGAGGAAAATAAAAATCACGTAATCTTATATTCATACGAATAACTTAATTTCGTTTCATACCAGAGGGAAAATGGTCTATCCGCGTTTATCGATCTCTTGACATGAATATTGCTATCCAACAAATTTCGCCTCAGGCGTTATGTGCCCTACATTCACCGCAGTTGAACCGCTGCAGAGAACCGATCCTCAAGATCCTGGGGGAGGAGAAATTCTCAAAATTTGAATTTACCCTTTGTGGTATATAGGCAACGTATGAAGTGCCTTTGTTCCTTTGCATGCTGAGGGTAAACTTAATTGTGGAGGATATAATTTTTTCGTCCGATTCCTCTGAAAATGATCCGTTTTGTTTGCATAAGCGATGTTTTAAAAATTCTAATCTTAATTATTCGCAGGCAATTTTTATTAACAATTATTTGAGAATATGAGCGTGATTACTACTCTGATTTTTTAGAGCAATTTTTTGTACGAGATGAGGAATGTGCCTCTTAGTCTCTCTAATGTCTGAAAATATATATTTTTCTAATTAAATGAGTTTTCGATATTTGTAATTATACATCAGATATTCTACCAGTCTTTAATTCTTCATTTTTTTGAATTAATGAATATATTCACTTGAGTTTTCTAGTTTTTTCAAAATGATTAAACGGAAATTTACAGTTTCTATGGACTTTCTCATCAGATTATGAGAAAATCAATGGAATATGAGATTTTTTAATGATGAGATTGTCTAAAATTGCAGAGGAAATGTCACTCATTAAAAAGCAAAATTGCAAAAAATCTGGAAAAATATTAAAAACTGGTTTTTGAAAGAAAAAAGAAATAAAATACTTGGAAAATCGCAGTTCTTCAAAACCACGGCCTCAAATAATTTTTTTGTCATAGCGTAGCGAAAATATTGTTCGTCACACGGCTGGAATGTACAAAAAAAGAATCAATTTTGTACCCTAAAAATAATTTTTTCAATCGTTGAAAATTGATCCATATTTAGATTTCCATTGTATAAACAATTGCTATTATTTCGTTATTTTAGTTAAGAACTAACTAATTGGTTTGTAAATTGAAGTATTCGATACCGATGGCGGTGGCTGTATGGTTAGAGTGTGGGATTGGCATGCGGGAGATCCGGGTTCGATTCCCGTCTGGGGGGGCCAAAATTTGTGACACTCTATATCTCACGGTTTCATTGTTGAGCGGGAGTCTCGCAAGAGACGACTGTACCTGGGCAGGTTTTTCCCTCAAATGAGGCTTTCCGTTGTCCTTCACCGAATGCGGTACAGGGGAATGGATTTAATTGAAATATTCGATCAAATTTAATGAAACAAGTGTGAGAAGCTTTTGAAATGCCTCCATCAATGTTCCAAGTGAATGAATTTTCCACTCTAAAAATATCTTTTTCAATCGTCGAAAACTGATTCATATTCAGAGTTCCATTATATAAACAATTGCTAATATTTCTTTATTTTGGCGGAAAACAAAATTATTTTCATGGCAAAATTTGTTTCCACTCTTCCCCTCGCGGTGAACAATATCAAACACTTTTATTATCATTATTCATCATGTGTATTCTAATTTATTCATGCATATGTTTTAATAATCACATCATATGATTGTCAGTAATTGAAGTTACATAATTGGTTTGTAAATTCAATATTCAATCAAATTTAATGAAACGAGTGCGAGAGGCTTCCGAAGTGCCCCCATCAATGTTCGAAGTGAATGAATTTTCCACGCCAAAAACAATTTATTCAACCGCCGAAAATTGATCCATATTCAGATTTGCATTGTATAAACAATTGCTATTATTTCTTTATTTTGGTTGAGAACAAACTAATTTTTATGATAAATTTTTTCTTCTACGCGCGAAAAAATTCAATAGAAAAACCTAGCGAATTCGCTAGACAATTATATTGAATTTCTATTGAACTTTCTATTAGTTTTTGACCGATTCTATTGAAATGTTCAATTGAAAATATTGTTTAGAAAAAGTCAAAAGAATTCGATTTTTGTATACAGTTTATTCTATTGATATATGTAAAAGGCCGAGAGGTCATACATGCCTGAATAAAAAAAAAAAAATATTCTATTGATATATTTTCTATAGAATTTCATCGGCTCAAGTTTATTTTGTTTGATTTTCTTGATGAAAAGGAAAGAAAAATCGAATTCTATTGTTTTTTTTTATTTATTGAATATTTTCTACTAAACATTTCAATAAAATCGGCCAATTAAAAGAAAATTGAAACTAAAAGAAAATTGAATAGAAATCCAATAGAATCTTTTAACAAATTCGCTAGGTTTTCCTATTAAATTTTTGCGTGCGTGCCACTCTCCCCCTCGCTGTAAATACGTTTATTGTAATCTATCCGTGCGCCCGTTACAATAATAGCATCATATAATTGTCAGTAACTGAAGTTACATAATACGTTTGTAAATTGAAGTATTCAATAAAATTTAATGAAACGAGTGCGAGAGGCTTTTGAAATGCCACCATCAGTGGTCGAAGTGGAACAAAGAGCGATTAACATTTTTAAGGTACTTCCGCAGTAAGTATACTTGGTGAAATTTTCGAAATGGTATAAAGACGCAATATTTGGATCATATGTTGTTGACCACATTAAAAAGATATTCCCAAAATTTCAAGTCCCTGGTCCACCCCATTTTTGAGATATGCATCGCCAAACATTCAATTTTTGTATTTTTTCCATTTTTGACGATGTATATCTCGAAAATGGGGTGGACAAGGTACTTGAAATTTTGGGAATAGTTTTTGAATTTGCTCAACAACATATGATCCAAATATTGCGTCTTTATACCATTTCAAAATTTTCACCAAGTATACTTAGTGCGGAAGTTCCTTAAATCAACAGGGCGAGCTTTTGTGCAGTTTCAAAAATTACTTTTCTCTCTGTCTGATTTTCCCCATTACAAACGTACTCCAACACTCGCTGCTCCATTTGCCATGCTCCTACATCCCCGGGATCTCGAATGATTCACGGTAATACAAATAGTCGCATCTTCGTGGCAATGCCTAGATGATAGAATGCTACCAGAGTTTTTTCAATTTTTTTTTCCTTTTTTCACGCGCATACCATTTCTCCGAGTTTATTCCACACCAGTGACAAATAATTTTTCATAATCATTTCCTGTTTTTCAAGCTTGGTCGTAGCATCCTGACAAATGCACACTGTGGGCTTTGAAATTTCTGCCTCGTTACTGCCTGGATTCGATCCGCATTCCCAACGTTTTCATTGTCTACTACGTTCTGTATTTTTTTAAATAAAACGCGCATAAACGAAAAATGAGTTGTGATTCTATTGTCACTCGTTGGTGGGTAAAATCACGTTCATTTTTTGTGAAAACCCGGTGAACGCAAAAAATAATGAATATATGTGATAAATGCGCTTTGTTAATTTGACTCCCAAAGTTATCTACAGTTTTAATGAAAAATTTTGTCCACCTATAGAACTTTACGTAACAATGATTCCCAGAAAAGCCCCGATATTTCCGCTAACAAAAGACTCCAATTATTTTTTGAATCCCATTATGAGGGAGTTTCTGTTTCATTCAAAATTAACTTTGTTAATAATATAGAAGCTTGAATGGACTGGACGTGGGTTGGTTTACTAATTGAGCCACTTAACCTGTGTGTAAATACTCACTTGAGCTGCTACCATTCCCTCCTTCAGTCTTCTGAGATCAGTGTGACTCCAGGCTGATTGTGACCACGGCTGGCTGCCTTTTAAATCCTCAAACCTGAAGTCACGCAGTTGATTTTTTAGGAACTTTCGGATGTTCCAGGGTAAATCGTTGTGTCTGGAATGACAATAACAGAACACGTTTCAGGTCATTGAAGTGGAAACTGTAATTTCGGTATTGGATATTTGTATTTAAATTGCCCACAATTATACGTATTGCAGTATCATTTTGACATTATTATTGAGATATCTGGAAATATCGTATTATCATTGGGAGAGTGATTTGGAGCATGAAAATGATTTGAAAAATCACTCCACGATGTGTATGGATTTTTGAAAAGCGCGAGTTGAAAATTTTTGGGTGGAATTTCTGGTAAACTTTTTGGAAATTTTCATCAACTGAAAGCTCCACTGAAATTTCAAAGAATTTCATTATTAATATTCAACAACTTGATTTTCAGTGGATTTTTCGGAAACTTTCGGATGTTAGAGGGGAAATCTTCGTTTCTGGAATGAAAATAACAGAACACGTTTCAGTGTCATTGAATTGGAAACTGTAATTGCGGTACTGGATGTTTGTATTTAAATTGCCCACAATTTTACGTATTGCAGTATCATTCAGACATTATTATTCAGATATCTGAGGATATCGTATTATCATGAGAATATCGGTTTATCATGGGGAGAGTAATTTGGAGGATGAAATTCATTTGAAAAATCACTCCATGATGTGTATGGACTTTTGAAAAGAGAAAGTTGAAAATTTTTGGCAGGAATTTCCGGTAACCTTTTTGGAATTTTTCATCAAGTGAAAGCTCTACTCAAATTTCAAAGAATTTCATCATTGATATTCAACAACTTGATTTTCAGTGGCTTTTTTGACACTCTCGGATGTTAGAGGGTAAATTCTCGTCCCTGCACTGACAAAAACGAAGGTTTTTAAGAAATACGTCTCTACTTATATCAAGAAACTACTGGCTTGAAAATTTTCAAGAGTAAAGTATCTTGTCCTAAGAACTTTCGTCAAGTAATTTTGTACTTGTCCCAAAGACGAGGAAAATCTCTTGATGATAAGAAAGCGAGTGTGAAACCCATTTTAAAAAATCACTCCTCGAAGTGTATGGACGACTGCAAAGAAAGTGTTGAAATTGTTTGGCAGAAATTTCTGGTTCCACTGAAATTAAAAAAATTTCAGCATTGAAATTTTACAATTTGATTATTCCGTTAATTTTTCGGAAATTCACGGATGTTCCAGGGTGAATCATTGCGCGTGGAATGACAATACCAGAACACGTTTCAGTGTCATTGAAGTGGAAACTGTAATTTTGGTACTTGATGTTTGTATTCAAATTGTCCACAATGTAACGTGTTGCAGTATCATTCCGCCAGTATATCTAGACATTTCGTATTGTCCTGGGGATATCGTCGATCATTGGGATAGTAATTTGCAGCGTGAAATCCGTTTAAAAAAATCGCTCCCCAAAGTATACGGACTTTTGAAAAGACAATGCTGAAAAGTTTTGGCTGAAATCTCCATTTTTCTTTTTACGAATTTTCATTAAGTGAAAGCTCCGCTGAAATTTCAATGAGAACTGTAAATTTCAGTTCAGTTATTCCACGAAAATTACCAGAAATCCGAGAATAAATTACGAAATGACTGAAATAATGCAAAACGGCCCAAAAACAACTAAAATGTAACAAAATAAAAAAATTAGATTACATATATTATTTTCTCCAATTTTCCAATAGACATCTGATTTTAAAAGATGGCCAGATCTTCTAATGTGCTTTTCCTGGGAATTTCTATCGCAAAAAGGCTGCGAAAATCTCAAAAGAAATAATCAATAGAAATCAGCAAAGCGAAAGCTCTCGGTTTTTCAATTGAATCTTTTCATACGTGATTCATTAAATCGATTAAATCCAGTCAAGTGGAATTGATCCTCTTCCGTCGTAAAAAAAGCTGGAAAACATGATCAACTCTAACGACCCGATAATTATTAGTCTCTATAAAAAACTCCTCGTGTACCGCTCGCCCCATCTGTTCCGCCGCTCGATTTTGTCCCGAAAGCCCAAAAAAAATCACCAATTGAAGTCCGAGGGTTTGCGTACAGAAATTCCGGTTGTTTTTATTAGTAAAATATATACATCCCTTGTAAGTATGGAGCAAAGAGTCTTAAGAGAACTTTAAAAAAAAAAAACACCCGGCGTCTCTCTTCAGACAGAACCACTCGTGACCAACAGATGTTTATAAAACGAGTTTCCATGAGTAGTTTTAAGAAATTACTTTCTCAGAGTATACACACACCCACTGCAATGTGCACACCTGTAAAACTCCTTTGGTACATCTCACACCCAGCGAAATGCGTAAATTCACCGGCAACTTTTCAAATGGAGTCTCGTACTTTGCATTTGCCTGAGAGCAGAGACACATTTCTCCTGTCGTTTGTATATTTTATACGTTACTTTTGGATCCCATATCGAACATGATAAATGCACACAGGGTGAACTGCTGAGGTGAAAGGTCATTCATCAGAATTTTCAGATAGGAGTCTCCTCAGTTCCCTTTTTTATCGCTCTTCTTTAATGTTTCGATACGCCACTCGGAGAGGGATAACAGGAATTCCCTCTAGTCACGGATAAAGTGTTTCTGTTTGTCACACGCGAGACACACTGTGAGCAACGAGATTTGTTGGGTATCCTTGAGAGACCACTTTAAGTACTCGCACAGGTACTAAAGATAAGATTGAGACCGGGATATTGTTCAAGTGAGGTAGGAGGCTATCAGAAATCTTCACGTTGGGCTAATGGGGCGGGATTGGGATCACGGTCAACAATTGCTCGGGGTCAGGGGTGAGATTCTCTGGTTGAATCATTGCTATTGATTTTTTATTAGGCGTAATTGGAGAGATTGGATTAGATCTTTACGCGGAGAAAAGAAAACTTTGGTTTTCACGCGGAGGGAAATTCTCTCGATATTTTCAATTTTATTCAGTCGACTGTTAGAAATTTTTTGAAATTTCATGGAAGATAGTTTAGTGAATTTCATGAGAGTGAAATGGAATCGAATTTATGGAAAAATGGTTATGAAATTTCAAGTTTCACGTAGGATTATGGAACTTCTTGAGTTTTCAGGAGGAGTAAGATGGAAATTGCATTCGTCAAATTCGAAATTTCCAATTTTTCGTGTCAGGATGACTAATTTTGGCTTCAGGAATTCGAATATGCTATTATTAGATCACTTTCGCATATATGTGTGTGTGTATGTGTGTCTGACCGATCGTTTTTCGACGATAACTGAAAAAATAATTAATTATGTCATTAGGCCCGAAAACCGCGATTCTAACCTCGCTTCGCTCGTTTAGATCGCGGTTTTCGGGCCCAACGACATAAAATATCGTATGTCACACGGCGATAAAAGCATTATCTGGCGAATGTGATTATAATCCTCGCTTTCGGCTCGGATTATAATGCCACATTATATCGCCTGATGACATAATATACTATTAAATGAACCCAATTGTGATTTAAAATATTCTTCCCAATGCCATCTTGACCGAGTTCTATCATGAGATTGATTGCATCATCTGTTGTTGATAAAATTCATTTTGAAACCAATATTCAAGGAATAAATCGTTGAATTCAGTTTAAAATACATCGTCATAAAAATTCCATTCGCAAGTAAATTACTAATTTATTAACGAAAATATATTGTCATGACAAAAGCAATGTCCTGCTTGTTTTCCAACAGTTTAATTGAATTTTAATTCGCAGTTTTCATTGATTCTCTCATTAAATTATGAGGAATTCAATACGATAAGTGATTTTTAATGTCGAAATTTCTTCTTTCTTCTCTAACATAGAATAAAATTTGATCATCATATATTAATTGTTACAAATGAGGAAACGATAACTCATGATACACTTTCATAGAACAGTAGGATAATTTTTACAAAAAATTTCTCTCCATGTATCAAAGCAGCAAACAAGTTCTTAGTGAGACAGTTTTTATTATGGGAACAAGACATTTTTAATTGCTCACAGTACAACCCTGGAGAGGATTGACCAATTTCTCTTTATTGGGACACGTTTTCCTGACGAAGACACAATCGAATGAATTGAATGGACTTTAACTTGTTACGGTTAACCCCCTGCGCTACTGAATTACACCTTCCAACAATTTTAAGAGCATGAGTGTACGTAATTAATGTTCAACGCGTTTATGGTATTATTACGTCGTAAACCTGAACGAGGTAATTAGCTGCCTCCCTGGAGGATATATGTGCGACTGAGTGATTTTGACTCACTCCCAGATCTTGAAACTGTTGGAGCTTAGTGCCGCCAAGGCAATAGGAAGCTCGCAGGCGGATTCATTTCGTGGTTTTCCCCTTTGAACTTCACCGGGGGTTCGGTTTTCTTGAACCTCAAGATCGTTCAGTAATTACTTGAACTGCAGATTATTTTCCGTCATTCTTTCATGCAAACACACGAAATAAGTTCATAGAAAAACCTAGCGAATTCGGTAGAAATTTATCGATTTCTGTTGAACTTGTATTTAAAATTTTATCACACGGCGAGAAATTTTCTAGAAAAATTCTAGTATGAGTACTGAAAAAAATCACAACATATCATCTTTATCAGTATATATATAAAATTAAATTATTATTATTATTTTTTATATTTATATATAAAATTAGATTAATGTAATTGTGTATATATATAATAAGAGTAAGAATGGAAAAAATTAAATTAATGCAATTGTGAAGACGGAAATGGAAAGAAAAAAGAAAATGAAGTAGTGGAAACCAATCTAGCGACGGGCGCGAAACGTTCGTTTAGATATTGTCTATAAAATTCCTCGAAATTAATTTTCTAAGTTTGTTTCACTGTACATATTTGCTTCCCCTTTTAATTGATAAAATTAAAGAGAAAAACTTGGAAAATTTGAGCCAAATTTCCATAGAAAAATATTTCAATAGAGTAAGTTGTACAGGAAAATCTATTCTATTGATTTGTTTTATAGAATATTTTCCACTGAACGTTTCTGTTACGGAAAACGGACGTACAACGGGCAGAATTTTTTCAACAGAATCCGCCAAAGACTAGTAGAAAGTTCAATAG